ATATATATATATATATAGAGAGAGAGAGAGAGAGAGAGAGAGAGAGAGAGAGAGAGAAAGAGAGATTTGATTTGAAATCTTGGGATGCCCTTGAATGTCCACATGGACAAAAAATATCCAAGCAATATAACAGACTGAATAATGAAAAGTAATTATCTCTTGAAAATTATATTTTGTAAGGAGACAGGCAATAATATCTCTTGTCCCACATGTTTGTCTGCAGTGTGACCTTGACATTCTCTGAGTTGACTTAGTCATTTGTTTGAGCAATGGAATGAAATGAAAGTGATTTTCCTGGGACTTCCAAAGCTAGACATCTTGCACGTGTCCCCTGGGAGTTCTGGAACACTGCTCTTGAAACCCAGTTTTCATGCTGGGAGAATCCACAAAGAAAGATGCGGTGGAGAATCTTTTTGATAAGCCCGACTGAGCTCCAGGCATGCATTATCAGTCAAATGAGTGAACCATCTTGGACATTCGACTCTGTGGAGCTGGCAGATGATAGTAGCCCTAGCTGACTGCTGGAAAATGCAGCTCACCATGGAACTCTGGTTTAAGATCCAAAGTTTTGTATGGCTTTTCATATGGTGATAGATACCTGGAACACCTTACCAGTTCTCTTTTCCAATATTTTTGTGTATGCCTTCAATCATATTTTCAGCAAATGCATTCAATGAGAGTGTGTCTCTTTCCTTGAGCAAGTGGCAACATAGCAACACACCACTCCCTTTGCTTTCTTTTCTTTTCTTTTCAGTCAATAACATATTTTAAGAGTTTATTCTGCTCCTGTTTATGTAGACCTGAATTGCTTTGAAATAGTAGCAGAGTACCTGTGATGGTTAATTCTGATTATCAACTTGTCTGGATTGATGGATGCCTAGAAAACTGGTCAAGCATACTTCTAGGTGTGTCTTTGAGGGTGTTTGCAGAGAAGATTGGCATGTGGGCCAGCAAACTGAGGGGGGAAGACCTGCCTTGAATGTGAACAGTATTGTCCAGTAAGATTGGGGTCCAGGTGGAATTAAAAGGCAGAAGAGGAACCTCCTGTGGGCCCACTCTGGACCCTCCTTGAGTGGTTATCATCTGTGGACATCAGACTCTAGATTCTTCAGCCTTTGAATGTGGCCTTGCATCAGTGACTCTCTCAGAAGCTTCTAGACCTTCAGCTTCAGACTGGGTCTGCATCATTGGCCCCTCTTGTTCTGAGGTGTCCAACATCTAAGACTGAGTAGCTCCTGGTTTCCCTGACTCTCCAGCCTGCAGATGGCCATTGTAGAACTACCCAGAATCTACCATTCATGTAAGCCAATGTAAGTCCACTCCTATGGTTATATCTAGTCTATTGGTTATGTTCCTCTGGAGAACCCTGACTCAAAGAGTACCCCATCATTTATCACTATAATATATTTAACCAGTTCACTATTGATGGRCATTTAGGGTTCCCTTTTGCCAACCTGTATTTTGTTACCACCTTGATTCATTGTCTATTCAGCTAAAATACTCTTGTGCAAGTGTCTATGGTATGTATGTATGTATGTATCAATCTACTGGTTACATTCCCAGAAGAAAATATTTTTATCTTCTTTAATATAATTCTATGTGCATTTTAAATTGTAGTAGAAATTGCCACATTGCCCCTCCCCAACAAAAGACATTATACCAAGTTATATTCTCTCTAAGCAGATTTAGGGGTACCTACTTTCCCACATACTTGCCAAAACAGCATGTTACCAAAGTTTAAGAAATTGTTTATGCTGAATTCTTATTCCAATTAGATGTTTTTATTATTGTGGAAAAGCAAATGAGCTACATTGATGATAGCTAGTTGATATTTTGATGGCTTTTGAGAAATTCCCAGCTATAACTATATTAATTGCATAAATCATTCTTGTCAAATTGTTAAAAACAGAACTGTATAGATTTGGGAAGTAAAAAAAAAGAGTTAAAGAATAACAAAGTTGAATACAATTCAATTTTTATGATATATTCAAGCTAAAGCCTGAAAGTAGATATCTGAAGTATTAATAAAAAGGAGGTCCATCCTTATGATTAATCTGTCAATCCAGAAAATAAAACACTCTCTGAACTGAGCATGGTGTTACACACCTGTAATCATAGCTACTCAGGAGGCTGAGGCAGGAGGTTTGCAAGTTCAAGGTGAGCCTGGGCAACTTAGCAAGATCCTGTCTTAAAAAAAAAAAAAAATTGAAAAAGGGCAAGAGATGTAGCTCCCAGGTTCAATCCCTAATATCTTTCCCACCAAAAAAGAGGCAGCCAAACCCAAAAGGATGTTGTTATCAAAAGGCACATTTTAATGTGCTAAAAAGCCAAATTGAATAATTAACGAGAGACTGAGATTAATTTTTAATATTTTGCTAAAAGCACAGACTGAAAAGTAAAAAGCAAAGTGAATAGTATGTTTATACAAACATCAACGATGTAACCACTTTATATGTTTTTATTTATTTGTGTAAAATGGATCTAGGTCAACTTGCAGAATGACTAATTTGCTAGATGACCATTCATCAGCCTTAGATGTTTCTTCTGAGTACTTATTTTTAGCTGGCTAGTTTTCATTTGTCATTGTAACTGCATCTTCAGGAATGTCACTTTGTCTCTAATCCCTTTGATCCACAACTGCTGCAGCTGGAGGTAGAGAGGAGCCCATCTCCAATGGGACAGCTTTCCAGGACCATGTCATTTTCTGCAAAGTAGGCCCAGTACTTGATCAGATAATAATGAATGCAGATATTTTCATAGTTTGAGGTCCTGACCATAGCTCTTTTTTTTATAAACATCAAGGACATTTGCCATTACATTATAAATTAAACATATAATTAAAATATATATATTTAACTTGGGAGTTAAAAGCCTGGAAAGAATGTCAATCCAGCTGGCCAGAATCTTTTTGATTAAGGAGAAAAGTTGGCTTGCCTTGCTCTCCTATGCAGCTGGGTGGGAAGTGGCAGCCCATCCCTGGCAAGCCCACTCAAGCCTTGCTGCTTGAGGGCACACTGGGAGACAGATGAGGGGTCACCTGCTTGCTTTTCCATCTATTTGGCAGTGAAACTAGAGATGACAAGCCTTATCCTGTAGCAAAGAGAGGCATTATGATGGGGAAAACAGTCCCTGGTCACCTAGCAGTATTGGTGATTAACTTGGGGTAGGGTTTCCCAAGATTCCCTAATGATAATAGTCACATGGGTCACTTACTGACCATCTTCCTTGAATATTTTGGTTCTGTTGGATATTTTGGTTTTGTCAGGAGTTCAGACTATGCCTTTTAACACAGCGGTCCCAGAGCTGGGTACTGTGGCACATGCCCATAATCTCGGCTACTCAAAAGGCTGAGGCAGGAGGATTGCAAGTTTGAGGTCATCCTGGGCAATTTAGAAAGTAAGCCCCTGTCTCAAAATAATATTTAAAAATAAAAAGAAAGAGAAAAAGGGGCTGGGGATGAAGCTCAGATGTAGAATGCTCCTGGGGTCAATATCCAGTGCCAATTAAAAAAAAAAAAAAGATGATTTTTGTTATCAAAGGAAGTTGAGGAAGCCCTGCCTTGGGCAAGGACACAGCTCTCTCATTCTATGAGAGGAAGCAGATGTAATATTTAACCACCAAAGGGAAACATCTTCTTGGACAAAATCCAGGAAAGAAAGAAGGCCACAGTCACAATTCTGTGGAGGACGAAGTTCACAGGTCATTTGGAAGCTTTGCAATCATGAATGACAGGTAATGTCCCTGAAGAGCATGCTGCCTTCTCTAAATCAGCTTGGGTTTGGGAACAAAACATAGAAGGCTCAAAAAGGCAGCTGTTTGTCTCACCTTGGAGACCAGAAACTGGGGAGCCACCTGGAGGGAAGACCCTAAGCATGTGTCCCCGCTACACTATGTCACTTTCACCTCTGATACTCATGCAGCCTCTACCAGTGATGTGGCATATAGAAAGCTTTCCTGTGGATCTTCCCTCTCCCTCTCCTGGAGTTACTTCCCAAACATGCAAAGCAAAAGGCACATGGGGGTGGGGCTGGGGTTGTGGCTCAGCGGTAGAGCACTCGCCTAGCATCTGCAAGGTGCTGGGTTCCATCCTCAGCACCACATATAAATAAATAAAATAAAAAGGTAATAAAAAATGGGGAAAAAAAGGTACATGGTCCAGCCAGGAAAGAACAGGACCTCAGAGCTTTGTAACTCTGTTAATGAAGTTTTAAGTATTGCTATGATTTTAATGAGTCCCCTCCCACCCATAAATAAATAAATAAATAAACAAATAAATAAATAAATAAAAATAAAACAAGAGGAAGAGATACCTGAGCTGATACATTCTTGAGCTCTTACCACAAGATGCCTTCTGTCATGTTATGAAGTGAGAAGACCCTCATCAGATACTGGCACCTTAGTATTGGACTTGCCAGCCTCTGCAATTGTGAGAAATAAACTCCTGTTCTTTATAAATCACCCAGCATTGTATTCTATTATAGCAACAGAAAATGGATTATGACAAATACATCATGACTAGAGATTTCTAAAGTGGCTGGGAATACACATACAGACAAGAATAGTGTCCACCTATTTGTAACCAGTTGATTCAGTAGCAACGTTCTGTTAGGCTCCCAGAACCTGTGGTGGATACATCAAGGGTCCCCTGGAGGCAGCTTTGCCATTTCTACAAACCTGGCTTTGGGAGGTCAAAATCAGGGCTTGGAGCAATAACTTGTCTGGTTCTAGAAGAGCACCTCCAGGCCTAAGGGCAGCTTGAGAAGTGTCTTCTGAATGAGTGAGTGAATGAATGAATGTGAACCCGAGAGAGAGCTCGTCATTGGCTTGCAAAACACAGACCTCCACTTGCTGGTGATTTATGACAAAATTTCAGGCTTCATTTCTCAGACCTTTATTCTTCTAAACAAAGTTCAGCCCTCAGCGTGTTATACTCTGTTAACCACAGAAGCCCAAAGTTCTCCTATAACTAATCTGAACCTGCGATTCCTCGGCTTTCACAATCCCTTTCCCCTGTGAGAAGCAGGGACCTTGCAGGAGGGACCATGGAGCACGGCAGCAGCCGCTTGGAGGATTTCCCTCTCAATGTGTTTTCGGTCACTCCTTACACACCCAGTACCGCTGACATCCAGGTGTCCGACGACGACAAGGCGGGGGCCACCTTACTCTTCTCAGGCATCTTTCTGGGACTAGTGGGGATCACGTTCACCGTCATGGGCTGGATCAAATACCAAGGCGTCTCCCATTTTGAATGGACCCAGCTCCTTGGGCCCATCCTGCTGTCAGTCGGGGTGACGTTCGTCCTCATTGCTGTGTGCAAATTCAAAATGCTCTCTTGCCAGCTGTGCAAAGAAAGTGAGGAAAGGGTCCTGGACTCGGAACAGACATCAGGAGGACAATCCTTTGTATTCACCGGCATCAACCAACCCATCACCTTCCACGGGGCCACTGTGGTGCAGTATATCCCTCCTCCTTACAGTTCTCAGGAGCCGATGGGGATGAACACCTCCTACCTGCAGCCTGTGGTGAACCCCTGTGGTCTCATACCCTCTGGAGGAGCAACTGCCACCATGCCAAGTCCCCCTCAGTACTACACCATCTACCCTCAAGACAATGCTGCGTTTGTGCAGGGCGAGGACTGCCCTTCTTTCGTGGATGGTGGAAATGACAGGTATGGGGTGCTATCGGGGATGGCCCTCTCCCACCTGTCATGCTCAGGATCTACAGCTGCATCTGGTCTATAAGGCAGGGGTGGGGACTACAGTCTGTCGTCTGCTGCTCAGGGTGGCAGCACTAGTTCTGTGAGTAGGGTCCTGGGATGTAACACATCTGTGTTTTCTGTTCCATTTCAGACGCAGCCCTGACGCTGACCAGCTAGAAGACACACAGCTGGAAGGGGACTGTGCACGCTTCTCACCTCCACCCTATGAGGAAATATACACTCTCTCCCGCTAGAGGCTAGACTATCATGCTAAGGGAATGAGTATTTGAATTATTGTGACCTGACAACTGGCGTGTTCTGTGCTGTGACCTTCAGAAATTAGGCAGCAGAGCAGCCCAGGCAGCCTGACATTCAAGGTGGGAAGTTAAATGTTTCAGGCTGGTAAAGATTACCATGGCCTGGGAAAATTCCCCTTTGGTACAGTTTCAAATCCTCTCAGGTGAGCACCTCTCTGTGTAAGATCTCCAGGGATTTCACCTGCTCCCCTCCCCCTTTCCCTATGCAAAGGCATTGGTGTCTCAGTTTTAACTCCAGCAGCCAAGGATAAAAATCACTGCTTCTGAGACAATCACTGCTTCTCAGGGAGCTTCCACGGCCGTGCGAGTGGGGTGGGAAGGGAGCAGGGGAGAGAAAAGAGGCTCAACTAAAGATTTCCCAGTGCTTGTCCTGGGCCCCAAAGTGGACTTGCATATCCCAATCAACCCAGTTGCCTTCTGGTTTCCCTTGAGGACTCTGTATATGTTARAGGCTGAAAAATAGATGCATAGATACAGTAGAATAAGATAAAATAATGTCTCCTGTTGGCATAGTGTTGGATAGCTGGCCAAACCATATGGATGAAATGATAATGAGATAATGATGTGAATAAATCTGTAGGTTATCACTGCGTCACAGTGACCCTGGGCTGCTGATGTTCTCTTCTGCCATGCTGGAGGTTGATGGATGTGTGATGCATGTGAATGGCCTTTGGTCCACCCCAGACTGGGGTCATCCTGGGCGTGAATGAGCCCTGCCATATGGCTGACTGACCACAGGCACTTCCCCAAACCCTAGGGATCTGTTAAGTTAGAACAGAGCTAGCATGTCAACACCTGGGAAGTCATGGTGGTGAAAAAGATCTTTTGGCTAAGATAAGCTCACCTTGTTCATAACAAAACTTTGATATCCTTCATTCCCTGAATCTGAACTGTGTACTAAATAGCCTACTTTATAAGAGGCAGTTTAAAATCATTAGGTGTCAGAAGAAGATATTTTCCTTGGGCTCCAAAGGTAAAGCCACTCAAGGTGAGGGAATATCCCAAAGAAAGACACAGGGTATARCAATGCTTTAAAGTTTTTATACAATGTCTGTACATGGAGGGATTTTTACTTTCTATAAGAGCACTTAGTTTCAAGAATAGAAGTAATATAGCTGGTGCAGTGGTGCACACCTGTAATCCCAGCGGCTCCAGAGGCTGAGGCAGGAGGACAGCAAGTTCAAARCCAGCCTCAGCAAAAGCAAGGAGCTAAGCAATTCAGTGGGACCCTGTCTCTGAATAAAATACAAAATAGAGCTGGGAATGTGGCTCAGTGGTTGAGTGCCCCTGAGTTCAATCCCCAGTACCCCAAAAAAGAATTGGACTAATATAAGCATGGTATATTATGGTTGTGATTTATACTATGACTCAAGGAATACCTCTTTATATTCATTTTCATTTTTGGGAATAGAAGGTGGAGAAACATGATTCTGTTTACAGATTGAGTTTATGAGCTTCACACTCAATATATTCATGAGAGATTGGAGTCCCAGCAGGGGGCATCAATTCTAGGGAAGAAGTTAGGTGACATCATGGAGCATCACTAGTGACATGCTGACTGCCAAATGACAAGTTGAATGACAATGAACATCAAAGGAAGCTCACTAGAGGAAAAGATGTTAGGAAARCATGTTGTGTGTGGAGCCAATTTGGGCAAGACGGCCAACTAGTCTTGGTGATGTCAAGAGAGGGTCACCATGCAGAGAAATGACCTTGGGGAGATTTTAGCTCCAGGAAGCAGAGTGGCTCAGCACCACTGTTCCCATCTCAGTACCAACTAGAGTCGTTTATAGTCCTAAGATCTGGAATCSGGACTTCAGGGCTAATAGCTTCAGGAATCCATGGTGCAAGTGGAGACTATAACAATCAGGGCATCAGAAAATGGAAATGTGTTCATTCCACATTTATTTATTGAGCGTCTACTCTGTGTCAGGACCAGACCATCGAGTGGGAATACAACCGTGAAAACACAAATCTAAAATAGAGTGGATAAGGCTCTATATGTGGAACTTCTAGTCTGGTGGAGAATCAACTATTGAATATCTACATTATCTATTAATTATTTCTGATACTTGTGAGGGGTTCTGGAGCTCTGGGGGGGGGGGATTGTACTCACCAAGGAGTCACAACTTGCCTGGGGAACTGAGGTTGGGGCCATTGCCTTGTATAACTCCAGGGAGCGCTTTTCACAGGAACAGCCACCTGTGGAGATCATGCAGGGACCCAAAGGGACAGGAGCATCCACTGAACAAAGAGGAGAGGGCAGAGCTCATGGGAGAAGCCTGGTGAAGTGCCACGTGGAAGGCAGTAGGAGGAGGCGTCTTCAGGGCTGTGCAGGCCTTTTCCATTCCTTGCTGCTAAAGTGCTCAGAAAAAAATGCCCTCAGTACCCAAGAAATTGCACCTACCACCTTTTCTTGCTGAGAGACAACCCCACCAGGCTCTCTTTATTTCTTTACCAGGAAGTCAGAGGGGCCAACCCACTGGGGGCTTCCTTGCTTATAACCCTCAGGTCCTTGCATGGTCTCCTGACCAGCAAGAACACCTTGCCTACAGAATTTCTGGTTTGTCGTCTGGAGAACTGCCTTTTAGCATCCTCTCAGTCACTATCTTATCAGGGCAAAGAAAGAGATCTGGAGTCAGTCTCCTGGTCTGCTGTTTACCCTTAGACGGTGTTCRGGGACACGGGGCGTGTTTCAGTGGAGAGGGAGCTACAGTCAGTAGCCAAGCCACCTTTCCCTCCTTCCCCTCCAACCTTGGCCTCCAGTGAGGCCATATATAATTGGGCCATCTACAGAGAGTTCAAAACAGTGCTAAAGRTCTTGTTGAAACAAAGAAAAGCAAAAGCAAAAATAGGTTTCTTAAGAATTTGAACTGGGATTGTCCARGTTTGAGAAATGAAGCCCAAATACCAATGGAAAAACACTTCCACAAAGCTCTGGGGACCTCTTCTTTGGTCCCTGTCAGCCCTTGTAGGGGCCCGTTTCTTTTGCAACATGGGACTGTTTGTCACAGTGGAGGCTCCCCAGAGATTTTAGTCTCTTCCCCTTCTTCTCCATAGAGTTCAGTATGTGTCTTATGTTTCAGATTCACCATGTGGTTCTCTGCTACAAAACCAGCCCTTTCAATACTCTCCTCTTTTCCTCCAGTATAAAAATAAAGGCTGTTGTTTGTGAAGAGTGGACCTGGGGTGTCTGTTTTCAGGTTCAGACCTCTGGGGCTCCTCCTGGCCTTGTTTACTGTTAGATCAGTGGAGTAAGATTTCACCGAAACTGACTAAATGCCGGGTGGCTGTACCCCAAACAGAAGCCCCTCACAGTGACCATGGGGCACACACCTTCCCCGCCAACTAAGAGGAGAGAGGTTCTGACACATATCCGAGAGGTGCATCCAGATCTTCCTAGTGTCCCTGCCTGTTWCAACCATCGGCCCATCTCATATTGTCTGGTGAGATTGCCTAGTTCAGAGCCCTACACACAACCACCTCTCAGATCCTGTTGAATAACAAATGGGAAATGAATACATGAAGAACTTTCCAAATGGATAATAAATGACCATTCTAGCTTATTAGGTGTTTTGTTGTTTTTTCCATGATGAACAGTTTCTAACGTATACAAGAGTACAAGGGACAGTGTCTGAGACCCTATGTAGCCATCATCCGCTTCAACTGTCAACTCAAAGCCCACCCACAATCAACTGGATTTTTAAAAAGCAAGCAAGTCATCAGATGATTTCCTCATAAAATATTTCACTGTGTATCTTTAAAAGATGAAGACACAAAAACAATTACAGTGCCATTATTAAACTAAAAATTTTACAATGGTTTCTCAATGTCGTCAGATATCCAGTCAGTATTCAGTTTCTCCAGTCCCTCCCCCAACACTGCACACACACTTTTTCCCCCTCTTTGTTTGACTGAGATCAGGATCCAAACAAAATTAGCTTTTTGCTAAATGCATCATAAATTTCTAGCTGTTTTATACTGTATTTTGGAAGGTAGACAGTAGGTAAATTACCTATGGCAGCAGACTCATACCTGATAAAATTCACTTTCCAAACAAAAAACTGTTTTTGAGATTTTTCAACTTCATATCTCCATTTCTCTTAGCCCCCCAAAGCCCTAGGGCTCTTCTATAACTAATAGAATTTTTCTTACTATTAGAATATTATTAGAGATTTTTCCAAATACAGGCCTGAAAAAATTAACACATGAAAAGAGAAAGAGACCTTTGACTGGCTAAGAATTATCTGTCACAGAATAGCTGCAAAAGTATCAGAAAGTTGACAACCTTCAACTTTTTTGGTTAAAATGTTGAAAAAAATATTTTTCTTCTGTTAGGGTCATAAAAACTCCTTTAAACATCTCTAAAGCAGGATCCAAAGTCTTTTTTTTTTCTTAGAGTCTCCTTTTTAAGACATAAAGAATCAAAGCCTTTTGCTTGCTCTACATTAAAATATTGCCTGTTACAATTTAACCCTCAGAGGTTATTTCCTGGGCCTTTTACCAATGAATTTTCAATGTTCTTCAAATTAAAATGAATATATTTTCTGCACATGCCTAAAACTCTTCTTTTGAAGGTGGAAATGTCCCAACGTGTGTGTATTCACCTACACTCTCTTATTATAGAATATGATTTATGGATTTCTTCCCCACGTACTACTTGTAAATCATCGAGATTTTTATGTCCTGAGCAGTCAGCAGTTGRTTATAAAATCAACAGAGGGCTGTACTAAATAAACCTTTGCCGGACRGCTCTGAAAGCATTGATGACAAATCAGAATGTGAAGACAACACCATGGGAATGATTCTCACCTACCGGTGGGAAGCCACAAGGTCTCAGATAGGGGATTTTATTTGCCTGGAGACTTTAAGATGAATTACTAGAAGAACTAGTAAGGGAATCTGTTTCCTAGTTTCTAGAAGTTTTCTTATAACAA